AACTCAGAATTTATTAAGAGAATCCAGACGAACAGCTGCGTTCTTACAAATATTTGGGATATTCGATGGTTGACAAGGAATTCCGATTGGATCATCTCGGCGAAAGATGACAATCGACACCAAAGAGTTGTTTTTGGGTCCCTCCAGGATTGGGTTCACTACAGGAATTTCATATTCCGCGCGTTTCCACTGCATCACCTTGGTCTTTCCCAACCAAGTTTCCCTTGAAACGGTGAAACGAACGTTTCTCTCCGTCGACTTCAAAATCATCAGATGATCTTGCAGGTGGCGACTGTACATACGATCGGCATCTGCGAATGCTATGAACCTGGCAGCGCCGCAATCTTGAGATGCAATCCTTCGAGTGCAATAGAATAGAGTCGCAAAGTACAATGTAATGTGGCAAGAAAAAAACTAACCGATATTACATTTTTAACAAAGGTGAAATAGACAAGAAAAAGGAGATTTTATCAGTCAGCCGAGGAGAGTGTATACCGGTGACGTCATTGGTTCTCTCTCTCCCCACCCCCCGCTGGGATGTAGCCCAACCTTTTCTACTCTTCTAACCTGGGATTACGTGGAACGGGAGAGAATGCTCTCGCCGTTGCGTGAACTGATATCACTGCAATTCTGCTGCTCAGTTTCATGACGCGTCTCACGTTCTTCAACTTGCCATCGGATCTGCTCGCGCATAAAACGTGTCGTTTATCGCGCATAAAACGTGTCGCTTATCGCGCATAAAACGTGTCGTTTATCGCGCACACACCAGGCGATCGACATCGTACGGGACGAAGCGCCGATGGCGCCCGCTGAAGCATTGGCAGCGATCGAACGGGCGTTGCGAAACTCGACGGACGATGACCGCCGATTCGGTGGCAAATTAGTTGGGCCGGGCGGTGACTTTCGCCGAGTGTTGCCAGTCGTCCGCAAAGCATCTTGCGGTCAAATCGCCGAGATTCGCATTGTAACGAGCCCATTGTGGCAATCATTCCGATCGATTCCTTTGCCAGGAAAATGCTTGCTGCGGCAAACGGAATTCGTTTTCTCGATGAGGGCAGCGAAATACTTGGAGTACAGGGCGGCCGATGTGAGTATTCCTTTGCCAGGAAAATGCTTGAAATGGAATTCGTTTTCTCGATGAGGGCAGCGAAATACTTGGAGTACAGGGCGGCCGATGTGAGCTCTGCGTGTGCTTACTAGACGATCGTATCTCGGCTGATTTGGTGAACGAGTTATTTTGATGACGGCATGGCGTTCGCAACAGGCGCGCCGTCTCGTGTCCCACAGGGGCAAGTGCCAGGTCCTCGGTCCCCTTCGAATCCGTTAAGCAGTCCTCGCTTTCTCTTTCCCCATCTCTTCAATATCGGATCCACGTGCATGTACACCGGTGTTTCTCAAACGGTGGTCCGCAGAAAGAGTAAATTAATACGAAATAACTGTTCCCCAAAACCACGCTTATTTGTAACTGACGAAAGGATACACCCCACGAATCATCTCCATCGTGTCTTGCACGCATTCACAAGCCTGGGCACACCGTATAGAACGGGAACCAGATTTCAACATGGTCTCAGTCTCGAACACGATCGATCTCCCCATCGATGGGAGCAAGAAAAGTTACCCGGTCTCCCTCGTGTCATGACACAGTCGACTCGTTGGCTCAATTTTTCGTATGAATTCCAAGATTTCGATGTTCTACGTGTTTTCGCATGCGCCTTCTTGGATATTCGACGAAAGTGACATTCGCCAAAAAGCTGTCATTTTTGACGAGTTGTCAATCTCTTTGTAGGCTGCCGATTCCGAGTAACATTGGTAGGCTTATAGGGTGACACAATTGAAGTTTTCATACCAAATTTCAGCCTTCTGGCTCTAAAATGATAGAAGCTGTAATTATTTTCTGATGACTAACGACAAATTGTGCTGTTGAAAATATCGATACGAGCTTCGGCCGGGAAGAAATGGATTCATGATCTTCCATGATGCTACAAAAATTTGAAATGAACGGCCCTAAACCTAATTGTGTATTTTCGATTTAGACATTTGTGCATTTTGTTTTTGTTCTGTTATTATTATTATTATTTAAATATTTTTTTTAGGTGTGAACAATTTCAAGCTGAAATAAAAAATGAACACTTTTTTGGTGATGAAATGTAAATTAAATTCCAATCTCTCAGTCATTTCTGAGTGCCCATGCGAAATTTCTCATTTGAAGATCAAACAGCAAGGTCAAGTGCACCCGACCTTCGTTTTTATTGGATTTTCATGAAAACCGCTCTTAAAATGGCACAAAAGGAACTTGAAACGTCACTTCTGGGGTTCATAGGCTTGCACTGTATGAACCGCATGCACTCTCCTCTCGAGATATAAGCGAGTGCGGGTGAAGAGGCAGACGTCGGCGTAGGTCATGAGCATTGGGGGACAGTAAATCTCGAAACTTCGAAGAAATTGCATAAATCTTCTGTATCATCAGGAGAATATTTGCACTGTCGTGAACGCATCAGAAGTAACTCATCAAGAAACCCAACTAGTTCACCAAATTTAATTCTTACGGAGTGAGGTGGAGGCGTTATTAAATTTATTGTGCGTTGAATCGATTCGGAATGACCAAGGCATGAATGCGAAGGACGAAATTTTTATTATTATAGAGATGTATGTGCGACCCTTAGCTGCAAGCTGCATGTTTTCGAGGAAAAATGCAAGCGGGAAAAATGGACGCACCATCAACGTGATGAAACCCGGTGGAACTCGAGGAACGCGGCCGAGGAACAGCAGGCACAGGGGGACGAATGCCTCCACCATTCCTCCTGCAGATCCTCGCGAGGATGTTCTCCGCCGTTCCATCTCTAACCCGTTTCTTGCCATCCGGCAACGAAAGCGTGAGTGATTCGTGGAGCGACGCCAGAGGCGCGCACTGCAGACGTTGGGGATGACGTGAGGAAGGAATGAACGTCTCAGTCGAGAGAAGGCTTTCGTGTAATTCGGACGACGATCGGGCCAAAGAGTGAGCCGTGCTTCAGGAGGCAAGAAGCTTCTGAAATGAGAGTGGGTGGGCGATGTGTGCTTGAAGAAATGAGAAATTTGACTCTGGGCGCCGAAAATTAAATTTAATCGAATGCAACGAGTCATCATGATCGTTCGATACCGAGGAATTCATCCGTGGCATGGGGTCCACTTAAATAGACCGTAGGTCCTCATGACAGTGAAGACTCAGTAGCGTGTCCAGGAAATCCGAATATGAAACCATATGAAAATATGTTACCATATGAAACAACTGATAATCCACCCTGTATTTGTTGCCAAATTAAGAAATTTGGGCGAATCAAACCTGTAAATTGACTCCAAAGGGGGGGGGGAAGGGCCCTTGGGCACGCCCCTGTGAAGACTGAATGGTGTGAGAGCATCGACATCCCCGACCACGACGCAGTTGCCTCTGTGGATCTGCGAACCGGATGAATATCGCCTTTCGAGATGCGAACGAACGCGAAAAGGTCATTTCTGGCGTCACCTTCTCGATACGTGTCGGAGGGAACGAAGAAGTGATAGCAAGGCCCCGTGCACCTCAGATGAATCACTGAGGAAAATCCGCATTTTCAGCACATTTTTCCTGCGAAGTGTGCTACTTACAACCGATCAATTATAGTACTCATTCTAAGCTGAACCGAAAGTGAGTTATTAATTATTAATTGCAGAAATCCCTATTCCGAGAATGCTCTTTTTCTTCACTCGGGAAGGAGGAAAAACAATTTGCAAAGTACGAAGTAATTGGCACGATTGGCGCGAAAATAATATTTCCTAGGAGGGGCATTGGTTTCTTTCAAGTCCTTAAAGGAAGATTTTGCTTACTTGCTTTAAACTTTTCCGAAAAAAAAAAAATTTGGAAAAACTTCAGCCTTATTATGGTCGAAGAGTTGTTTTGAAGCACTTGTAGGTTTCCGTTCCGACAGTAACGAAGCAAAATAAATATGTTCCCCTTACTGTTTGCGGTGAAACCGGATAGGTTGTTGTGATGCAAAATAATGAAAATAGGTTCATTTCAAACGCGTGCGAAATCAAGAAATCGAAAGATCTGAATGAAAAATGTGCAGATGGGTTTGCCACAGAAAGGAATACTTGCCAATGTCGTCAGGTTCCACGATCACGATTCCTACAGGAGGAAATTTTTCTTCGATCTCGAGATCGGATGCATTTTAGCCTCCACCGCGGAAGCCGTTCGCCCTTGTAACGAGACATCGCGTCTCAAGCACGTGACGTAGCTCCTCGTGGACGTGACGTCACCATGGGAATCGAGGGGCGTGTCTTTTTTCTCAGCGGCTCAGCTAGCTCTGCTGATGCCTCCATCATCCCATGACGTCATGTCAAGGCTGAGCTTCTCAGCGCTCCCATAGTTCGCTATGTTCCGCTGCCGGCTGCTTGCCCAAGAGTGACGTCATTCGATGACGTGTGCGTGCCTAGCCAACGCGTCTTTTTCGCTAGCAGCTGCTAGCGGCTGCTAGCGGCTGGAGAAAAAGACGCGCCCGAGATTTGCCCGCTCGTTTCCCACGTGCGAAGTCAAGGGCAATGGCGTCCACTTCTTGTGAGAGCACGTGGTCGCCCGGAAACGGAGGGAAAAGCATGTAATCCTCGCCCATCCCTTTCCGCCAGGATTTCCCACGACTATGCGAGGGGATTCTTGCCCCAGGCTGGACAGAAGTAGGCGCTTTCGCCCCAATCTGCATCGATTTTAGGTTAACGGGAGGCCTACGTGTAACTTCGCACGACCATTCAAGGCCTAAAGTTTGCTTGCAACACATCAGTTTAATTCTGATTTAAAGCTAACGTTAGACCTTTCAGTAACGGATCGGTGTTGGGAATGATTCAGCTCATAAATTTGTCGTGCTTTATTTATTGTCATTTATCCTTAATCATTGGGAGGTGAGAATGAAATAAACGAGAGAAGTGAAGGTGTGGGCAATAAACTCAAGAGCATTTATTATGCAGAGTTGCAAGCCATTGGGTCCTGCAGAATGTTGTATTCGATGTTGGAGACCTAGAGTTTTAGAGGGATTTATTTATCTCTGAGAGGCCTGGGCTGGGATTCTTTGGCAGGTAAATGGGGAGATAAATTCTCCCTTTAAGCAATGCAGAATTTCAGATTTGACCTCACGAGACCCAGAGTCTCATCCAGTGGACATGGGATCTGCAATTCCTCGTGAAAGATGTGCATACATGAAGAGATGAAGCTGATTTATTTTCAGAAAATATTCAGAGTTATATAAAAATAATTTTCGTGGAAGAAAACTTTTGAATTAAAAAAATGTTTCTTCATACTGGCCAGATTGAGTCACATTGTTAAAAGTGAAGCAAATTAGGTACATTTTTACTCATTGCTTAGCTTTCAACAACTGGGTGGGTTACAGTTATTGTTTAGAAGTTCAACTAATAGGAGCAACTTTTTCCTGTTTGAATAGTCTGATATAGTGAAAAGTTTTCATGGCTTTTCAGTGGGGTGTCAGTGGAAATCTTGCATATTTTTAGTACTCCATTTAAACAACTTTTTTTCAGTTTTAAATGTAAATATTTTTATTGAAGTCAAGGAAGTAATTATTCCTTGCCATCAGTGCTTGATATTACTAACTCAGAAGAAACGACTCCACTCTGAGCCTCATGTGGTTATAGTTGAAGTGCTGCATTGCTAGGGGGTTGGGAGCCTATTTTATCTCAGAGTGCATTTCTCAATTTATTTTAGGGTTTCCCATTTCACTGGAAGGTTTTCATCTGCAGGTATTTTACCTATGAAGTTCTTTCAATGCCCAGTGTGAATGCCTCTAGCCAGCAGGATTTGGCATCCACAGTTAATCCCTGGAAATCTGTCAGACCTTTTTGCATTGATTCTTGACACATGGCAAGACCCTGGTCCCGGACCCTGCCTTCTTTGGCTGACCTTTGACCTCAAGAATCCTGTGCTTACTGTTCTTGCAACCTGCTTTCAGGTCTATCTACCATAAGCACTTACCTTTTTCAGAGCAGGTATTCAGCTAAGAAACCATCATCAGACCAATTGCAATCCACTGCAGTCTCAATAAGATAGGGCCATTATGCATGAAGAAAACTTGATTCCCATTCCCCTCAGATCATTGTTTATCAGTCATACCTTGTAACTATAATAAAAAAAGTTTGGGGAGAGGTCCTGCCTGGCCCCCTTCTGGAAGGGCTGAATCTCCTGATCTTTTCCACCAGGAATGATGAAACATGCTCTATTCTTTTTGATGAGATCCTTAAGGAGTCAGCATGTATTTTTTTGGAAGCCTAGCTTAAAGTGTAGCAGTGTATCTTTTCCTGCTGAAGAATTCATGTGTATTTGGCAATTATAGTGTTTTGACCAGATTAAATTATAACCAATGACATGAGGATCAGATGATGATTTACAAATGGTAGCATTACTGGTAGGTGATGAGGATCTTTGGGTGGAACAAAGGGTGCATGTGCATTGAATCCCTTCAACCTGCATACTGCATAGAGGCAGTGCAATCATGATCAGTATCTATCACTGTCAAGCCTGTTTTACTCTGGGAGTATGACTGGAGGTTACTGTCCATCCTCATGACTGGCAAAAATCAAAAGGCAAAGTCGAAGGAATGTCTGTGTGATGCAGAAAAATGGTCACAGAGACTTAACTGAGGAACTAGGATTATGACAAAAATTTTCTCTCTCCTTCGAGGAAGGCAAAAGGATTCTGACCCCGTTATTGGTTCACATACCTGTAAACCGTGAAAACAAAAATGGAAAACACTCATGCTGCACACTAGTGCTAATACTGAGACATTGTTCTGGGCAGGCTCAAGGACAAATTCTGGGGACCTCTGGACAGAGGTCCAGGGGATTCAAGGTCATTCTTCACATTCCTTAGCTAGATATGCAATATGAAGCCATCATCCTGGAGAGAAGATTCTTTTCTTTGTAAGAGCTCTATCCCTCTCCACTTCTATCTAGGTTCTGTACCATTTGGATTGTCATTTGCTACAATCAACATAAATATACCCTATTAGTTTTTGCATACCAGTCATCATTTGGCATCACATTCAACCAGCTTATTCTCTGTCTCCTCCTGTCTTTATTCTGACTTTATCATCCACATAGCATTTTATCACAAAATTACCACAAATTTGATTCAACAGTTTGGAGTGGGCACTGTCCTTATTTTTAGGATTATATGATGAATATGCCTTCACAGCACCATCAACAACCCCCATAATTGATATGGAGAGGTTTCTGCTGTGAAGACCCATGCCTGTAGTCCCTTTGAGAGTAATTCTTTTTGTCTCTCAATATTTTTTAGCCAAATGAAGCCAAGAATGTGGGTTTGCTCATTTTTTTAAATATTCCTTCTGGATTCCAATGAATGTGCGGGAGTAAAGAAAGACAAATTTTAAATGAGGGCCTCAGTCAACATTACAGTTATGACATTTTTAGTGTTGGATTATTTAAACTAATACAAAAACTGCATTGGATCTGATGGAGCACTGAGAGGATGATTGAATATTTGCAGGATCTTGACTGAGTGGACTGTCCCTGCTGCTGGCTTGCAGCCTCCTTGGGTTAAGAGGAACCAAGTGAGCTGTGGAGCTGAACCACCTTTCCTGGTCTCTGTTGCCTCTGCATCTGCACAGGACATTTCAACACACCTTCTGAGGTATTTTGAAACTTTTTCCATATGAGCTACATGCAATCTTGTGACTTGCTATGATGTACTTCCATGTTCATGTAGGGCTGCTGGACATGCTGTCATGGACCATCTGCATATGAAAATGATAATATATGTTATAGATGTATTAACATAAATCAATGTTAAATGAAGAAGTAAGATTCTAAAATTGGAAATCCCAACCATGAGGTATCTAATATATAGTTTGAAATAATGGGTTCTGTCCTGAATTGATTCTTGACTTGCCCCTAGATATGAGTAGATTTTCCTGAATCCACTGGGCAAATTCCTGCATGGAATGTGTAATTGCATGTGTAAGGGCAAGGAATGTGGGAAATGGGGTTTCTATGTATAGATAACAACCTGGAGATGTCTGTGTGTATGTATGTATGATTGGATTTTGTCCAGTGAATTCCTCCTAGATTTCTCAACTGATTTCCACCAATGATACCTCATTCAATTTCCAATTTTCTGCAGATGGTCCAATCTAATTTTAGATTCTTCTTAGAGTTGACCTTTGACCTGACCTAGATGACCTTTCATATTAATTTTAGACTCATATTCCAATGTGATATACGAGTTCTGACAATAAAGTTCCAAGACTGATTTTTTTGTGAGTCTGTCAATATCACAAAAATTATTTTCATTCCATGGACTGATAGATTAGACTGTTGGGCAGTGGCGTGTCAGCCCTCATCTGACTAGCATCTTGAATGAGAGTTTGGCTGGCAATGTAGCAGCTCAGTGTGTAAGGCATCTGTCATGTTCCCAGAGTGAAGCAATGCTTCATCACATTTTGTCTCAAGCTGATCAATACAGCTGCAGTAATCCATGAGACATTGCTGAAGTGTCTTGAAAAGTTCCTTATTATGCTCCAATAATTTTGAATGACCTTCAATGCCTTTAGCAAGTAGTGAAGACACTCAGATCCACCTCAACCCTTGTGAGCTGTATTCCCGGATTGAGACAAAAATGTGACGAAGCATTGCTTCACTCTGGGAATACAACACGCCTTACACACTGAGCTGCTACATTGCCAGCCAAACTCTCATTCAAGATGCTAGTCAGATGAGGGCTGACACAACACTGCCCAACAGTCTAATCTATCAGTCCATGGAATGAAAAAAATTTTTGTGATATTGACAGACTCACAAAAAAATCAGTCTAGGAACTTTATTGCCAGACCTCATATCATTCCAAAAGCCCTTCACCTTCCCTGTTAGAATTCGTTTTTATATTGCATAAATGTTGAAATTTGATCCTGCTGTGGTTGACCTGAGTTGAGAGTGCACTGGTGCCATCTCTGTACAGTCTAGATAACTGCTTTGAGACAAGACCATTTCAGGAGACCATGGATTTCCGCCCATTAGATGGCCAGTGTAGCAGCCGCAGGCTGCTAGTAAGGTATGATAAGGTATCCTGGTATCTCACAATTAGGACTATCCATTGGCAACCACAATGTATCTGCAGGACTTCACCATGGCAAGAACCCTTAAGGGTCCTTGTCTGGGTGTTTTTATAATTCTATTCTTATTATTCATATTATTCCTTGTCTTATGATTCTATTATTTTTTCCTGAAGATGTTGACTTCTTATCTCCTAAAGAAACATTCCAAGGTCATTATTATCATCATAACCTGGAAACCATATGTTGCCTGGGAATCTTCTTCAGTCGAATGAGAGCAGCATGGAAGTTTGACATGAGTCCCACTCTCAATTTGACCTTGGCCTTCAATCATGTACATGATTCATCATGGCCTATGAGTACTGCCGCCTGTCTCAGGCATGCCTCTACATGGAGTTATGGCTTTCAGTCTGAGGTCAGTCTGAGAGATTTTCATCATATCATTGCTGCTATTCAGGGAGTTATGGAAACAGAGATTTTTTTCAGTCACAAATGGCAAAAAGTTGGCTTGAAGCTGAGGTGGTTCATTCATTCCAGTGCTGGATAGAATTACAAAAGTCGTGTCTTGTTAGCTATGACTTAATCATTAAGTAAAGGAGTCCTCAATGGAAATGGCCATAAAAAATTATTATTATTTCTTGCCAAATCTTGGTAAATTTAGGAGAAATGTGTGCTGGGTTTAGAATTGCAGGATTAGTATTGTTTCTTTTATTATTCGAATAAACGAGTTGGAGAGGCTGGTGGGATCAGTGAAGGAAGTCGAGGCAGAGTGGCCCATCCCTCAACCTCAAATAAAGGGAGGATCTTGGAAGCCAATTAGTGCTGGAGCTCAGTCTGCCCAGGTATTACATATCACTGTTCTGCAATTGTAAATCTGTAATCCTTCTTTTCCTTTTTAATTCCTCCTTCCATCTTCCTGTCACTGCATCTCATGCAATTGTGTCGTTTGCAGCATGTATGACTTTGATACATCAGTTAAAATGAGAGTTCCATCAGCATCTATGGTTAAAACTGTTTTAAAACTTTAAAATGTTAAATTTTAAGCATGCATTCAATTGAAGAAAGTAACATGAGCAGTCAGGAATATATCTCAATGCTTTATTACTGAATAGAAAAAAAAGGCATGGGAACATGTGCATTTCTCCAGATTTATTCTGTAATTTTCTTCATCAATGATCCTTGATGAGAAGTTCAATATAAAATTTTTTTAATCACCCATGCCCACCTGGAAATGGTGGAGGATTCCAGCAGCTCAGTGAATGTGGTCGTTGCTTGACTTCTGGAGCAGGAGGGTTTGTACAATTCCTCTCTCCTCACCAGAACTGTCAATCATGCCCTTCATCTTAAGATCCTCTTATTTGCCTCTCTCTCACAAGGCCTTCTTCCTTCTCTGACCAGATTCTACTTGTTTTATGATGAGGTGCAGCCATATTTTTTCAATTGCCAAATCCCAGCAAGTATTGGTATCAGCATTAAGTAACATTAATGATGGAAGCTGTGAAGCTAATTTGTATTTTCCCTTTCCAATCATCCCCTCCAAAGAATGAAAGCTTGTCGTCAGATATGGCTGCTGAGTTGTCCATTCTTCCTTGCAGTCTTGAATGTTACATTTCACATGAGTCCCTTGTACAAGTTTGAATGCTTCAAAACCAGCATTTTGAATGCTTCAAAACAATGCACAAGCATGAATTGTTCATGATTTCATGTGCCTCTCTTGAAAGATATGAGTGGTTAAGGTCAACCAGTTTCAAACAAGTACAAGCGAGTTAGTCTCCCAATAAAAAATAGAACAGAGAAAGAAACCAAGCCAAGTTATAGCTTTATCTTTAGGTTCCTTGCATCGAATATTCTCTATAACCCATGAAGGTATATTTAGTACATATGATTAGTTATTATTTTGTTGTTTTCCATCAGAAGACTGTATATGTTGTGACCGGTTTTCCTGTTGGAAGGTATTCCAGATCTGTGTGATTGATCACTTATGTTTCCTTCCAGGGTATGACAAGGACAGGGAGAAGATATTGAAGTCAATGCTTTGCCTGTCCTTGGATCTCCTGGGTCTCAGGAAGGCTCATGATGCCCTGGCTGGAAAATGCCAAAAAACAGCATGGGGTCAACCATCTTAGCCAGCCACTACTTCATGTGGGTCTGCTCCATCGAGGGTCTCTCGGCCGTCTTCACCAGTCCTGCTCCTTCATCGCCTAACTTGTGGTGCTCAGCTCTTGTTCCTGATGATCTGAGCTTCATGAATCACCACTGTATTTGTCCTTCAGCCCTTATTCCATCTTTTGTAGCTAGATTGATAATATTTTATTATAATTCATTTTTACTTCAATTTAGCATCGGACTGTATTAGTCTCTTTGAAATTTTCAAGGAAAGGGTCATGTAACAAGTAGCTGTGAATTTCCAATCCTGTTTGAGTAGCTTACTGGTGATGGTTTGATTTTTTTACTTTCAGCCAGTACCAAATTTTAGTTTTATGCATGTCATAGCTGATTAGCAAGATCAAGAAACATATTGCTTTGGGATGTTTCACCTTTATAGTCTGATACCTAAGTATACTTACTGCTAAATGTATTACCAGACTGCCTAATGGAATTGTTTTTGTAAATATGATTTTTATTTCCTCATTTTACAATCAATAGGTTCTGAGAAATTAATTTTTCTCCAAAAGCTTGCATGTGTTTGCACTTCACATTTAAATACCCACAGGTAAATACTGGCTGTGAAGCAACACAGGGGCATTTAAATGCTGTATGATGAAGGTTAAATAATTTTTAACCCTTTGACGTCGGGTGACGCATATACGCGTCCTGTGGGATTAGGTACCTAAAGACCTAAAGTTCGAAGAGACACATACTATGAGTGTATTTCATGTAACGTTGGCCTACGTATTGACCCTTGCTTCACCCAATTTCACACTTTTAAAGCTTTCTGACCAAAAGATTGATGGTAAGATATCAGAATAAAAACTTTTTCTGAAAATTGATTTTTGACCCAAAACAATCCCGACGTGAAAGGGTTAATATTGTATGAAATATTGTATAATTATCTGCTGGTGAATGATCATGATCCTATTGCTTGACAGTTCCACCATTGGTTGAATTGTCAAGCAATTGGTGGAATTGGTGGAATTAGTGAATTCCAACTGTCAGAATTCATTTATTTATTAATTTCGACCGAGTTGGAATTCACTGGATGTGAATGATTCTTACACCATGAAATCCACTTGAAGTTCAGTGACCCTATGTTTGAAAAAATTTTGTTCTGGATTGAATTCCTAATTGTCAAAGTGAAATTTACTTCATTCATCCATCAGCAAATGGGAATGACCACTTCAGTAACTTAGAAAATAATTGAATTCTCAGGTGCAACTACTCTACGGTGTGGGGAGATTCACAGAGATGTCTCAAATCAAACCTGATTCTGGAGGAGAACCAGCAGAGTGAGGTCCTCCTGTGGCATGGACTGGAGAAGATCTAGAGTTCTGAATGGAAATATCAATCTCATTCTGTGGACGGACAAATTGTAAGTCAATTGAAAGCAATTGAAATGCAACTGAACATATATAGATTTCACTTGAAAGATTGACTTTGCTGGATGTTTGGGTGGTATTTAATTAGAGAGTTTGGATGATGAAAAAATAAATTTCCAAAGTACATGTTACCTGCATATTTGGTTTCAATTACACAAATATGTTGCAGTCGTTTATTTGCATGATGTGACCTAAATATTAATAGGGAAACATTTAGTGCTTTCGTCAGTGATTTTGATTTCATTTGAGTAGCAACAAAAGATGTTAGGGGTTGGCAACTCAAGCCAAGTTTTTTCCTCAAAAAAAAAGCTAGATTTTGACTTAGGGAGTCACTATGAAAATTTTCCATCACTGTTCTCAGCACAGGCCTGCCCTTCATGAGAAACAGATGCAATGGAATTGAACCAAATGTGATTTGCAGCTTGGTGGGCTGAGGACATTGTTGTTGGCATGTCACAGGGACCATAACCAGTATCAGCTGGTTGCCCTTACGTTCCTTTACTACCAGGAAGTGTCCCAGTGTAGGGAGGGCAAGGGGATTGGAAAGATCACCCAGCTGATGAGTTGCAAGAACCTGCTTAATACTGCTCATTCCAAGTCCTTCATCGATGGTGTCCTTGGCTCTTTCACTCATGCTGCTGAGTACTATGTCTAGGTCTGTTGGATTCTAGTTCCTTTTTTTTCTCCTAAAAGCTGTTTCTAATATCTTTTTTTTTTCAAGCAAGTTGTTATTCCTCATGACCAACTTTGCTGGTCCATTATTCCTTGTACAGACAGGATTTTGTATCTGTCATCAGCAATTTATGCACAATTTCTTGTACTACAGGGTTGGCATTAAATATTCACTCCAATTCAAAGTCTTGTGTTTCCTGTAACAATATTTTAATTTCCCATAGTATCAACTGAATCTTAATGAGACAAAATGATTCACTGTCACTACTTGCTAAATATTTTGTTCTTTCTCCTGTTCTTACTGAAAGCAACCTACTTTGAGTCTTTGAATCTACTAGTTGGTTACATTAAATGAATATGGTTCCACTCTTCTTTCAGCATAAGTCTTAATTAATTCAGGCTGCTGCATTCTGTTTTTCAAACACTTTTTTCAAGTGGACTCAGCTTACAGAAACCTTTTGGATTACAGTCTGAGTTGTAGGGGGCCATTCATGTTTGTAGATAATTTCTGCTACATGGTCTGCTAGGCAAGTTTTTGAATGTCTAGCCACCTGACTTAGAGGTGTCTTTTTGAAATGCCCAAGATTGGCAACCAAAGAGATTCTGACACATGGACTGCATTTTTCTTTCTCTTTGCATTTCTTGGGTATGTGAGTGTAAAAAAGTTACATGTGGTATGAATATGTATGTTGATCAAAAGAAAGTCCGAACTAGAAGAAGTTAACAATTAGTTTCATAATTATCTGCTGTAATTTGTGCTCATATACTGTATTCTCCCACACACCAAACACACAGGAACTTAACCCCTCATCAAATGTCAACACGTTGAGGACTGGTTATCTGACACACGTCCAACTGCTGGGGGCTGGCAATTTTTTGCAGAAAAACGGAAATGGAGTTCGATGTGGCATTGATGAGCAGGAGGGACAGTGCTCAAGTGTTTCTTCCACTCCTCTGCCAGCGAGAACTCTTGTCCATTCTCAATGTCTAACTTCTTTTCAATAATTGCTGATAATATCGTTTTCCTCAACAAATGAAATGAAATATGAAGAATCAGTTGGAAACATACTAATATATGGAAAGAGGATGTTTCGCGAAAATAGCTCTATTGTGAGGGGGTATGTTTGGGTTGAAAGTCCTTGGTCTTTTTTTCCCCATACCCTGTATATGGACTAAATCTGATTTTGGAGTCCATAAGATAACATACATTAGACTTGTGATACTGCATGTGACCTATTAAATCCCTGCATGTGGCCAGCTTCGAGCAAACATGCTTTTCAGTAAAAGAAAGAAACGTGCTTTTTATTCGTGTTAGTTTTTTTTTCATAGTATGGCTGCTCAAGGTTGTTCCATCAAGTAACATATAAGTTCGACTCAGAAGAACTATTTTTGTCCTTGACTGCTGCACCGTTTGCCAATGTATTGATGATGTCCTTCGCTTGCATTTGTGGCATGATTTTTCTATGATTTTTCAGTGCAAGATTTTCATGATTTTTCAGATGTGTGGAGTTTCCATGAGGAGGTTTCCATTTAGTCTCAGATGCACCCTTGCCACTTGGTCGACTGGAGCCTCACCCTGTTCCATCATGTCCTGTTCATCATAGATATCAGATCTATTTGAGGAACATTGTAAGGTCCCAGCCTCTCCATGCTTCCCTCTTCTAGACCAGCGGTGCGCAAACTTTTCAGGTCGCACCCACTTATTCCCCCTCCTTGTACAGACAGGATTTTGTATCTGTCATCAGCAATTTATGCACAATTTCTTGTACTACAGGGTTGGCATTAAATATTCACTCCAATTCAAAGTCTTGTGTTTCCTGTAACAATATTTTAATTTCCCATAGTATCAACTGAATCTTAATGAGACAAAATGATTCACTGTCACTACTTGCTAAATATTTTGTTCTTTCTCCTGTTCTTACTGAAAGCAACCTACTTTGAGTCTTTGAATCTACTAGTTGGTTACATTAAATGAATATGGTTCCACTCTTCTTTCAGCATAAGTCTTAATTAATTCAGGCTGCTGCATTCTGTTTTTCAAACACTTTTTTCAAGTGGACTCAGCTTACAGAAACCTTTTGGATTACAGTCTGAGTTGTAGGGGGCNGGGGGGGGGGGGGGAAGGAGGGGGAATAAGTGGGTGCGACCTGAAAAGTTTGCGCACCGCTGGTCTAGAAGAGGGAAGCATGGAGAGGCTGGGACCTTACAATGTTCCTCAAATAGATCTGATATCTATGATGAACAGGACATGATGGAACAGGGTGAGGCTCCAGTCGACCAAGTGGCAAGGGTGCATCTGAGACTAAATGGAAACCTCCTCATGGAAACTCCACACATCTGAAAAATCATGAAAATCTTGCACTGAAAAATCATAGAAAAATCATGCCACAAATGCAAGCGAAGGACATCATCAATACATTGGCAAACGGTGCAGCAGTCAAGGACAAAAATAGTTCTTCTGAGTCGAACTTATATGTTACTTGATGGAACAACCTTGAGCAGCCATACTATGAAAAAAAAACTAACACGAATATGTTTTTTTATTATAAATAATTTCATATCCTTCTTTTTGATTGTGTTGGTTAAAAACTTTTTACCTTTAAAATTCAAGATACCTGCGTACCTGTCATACATGTCAGGTACATGCGTACCTGTCAAAGTATGCAATTTATTGTTTTTTTTATTTTCTTAGGTTCTTTTAAAATACTTTATTTTAAGGCTGTAAGGATGGCAGTTCTCTGAACATTGATGCATCGACCTGACCTATCAATAGCGTACCGATGCGCCCGCGGGGAGGGGGAGGGGGGGGGGGGGGTTGAATCTTTTTCTGCCGCGGTCGGACGGAGGTTTGACTTCCGTCGTTTCTTGCCTCGATCGGGTCGCGGACCTCCATCCGTCTTCCATTATCTCACGATAGTGATCCCCCGATCACTATCGGGGTCAGGTCACACCTTCCCCCCGAAGGTGTGACCTTCGCAACGAGTAATAAAGCCTACGAAGCCTCCAACTATCGAAAATTATATTCTTTCATAGATGGATCCATCAGGACAGCCTTAATTTTTTCTTATTGCCGTTGAGAATCAGTTGTTTTGCCCGTTCACGTAGTTTTTTCCCCCTATTTTTCTTTTTTCCACAAGGGCTTCTTTGGACATTGGCACCGACAGATATGTCGATGGTGTCATACCAGCGGTCACCAAAACATCGTTACAGCCCTTATTTAAAGAGATGTCCATGTAAAAAAAATCCACTTCGAGTGAAGTAAAGTAAGAGTAAAGAGTAAACTTCAGTAAAGAGGTAAAAATGCCTGTTATGCATTGTAAGTTAAAAAATTCAAAAACTTGCATTCTAAAGAAAAAGACAGGAATATAGAGAGGGGGATTAACCAATGTACGTTTGGAAATGAAGGGAGTAAATTGCGTAGCGGAAAGTGGAAGACTGAAACAGAAGGGAACGTTATTGGACTTCATCTCCTTTCCCACTACCTGTCTCCGATTCCAACGTTTCCTTCCCGTCTTTCTTATAGTCAGTCCCGGAATTTGATCGTGATGAGAAATTGCAAGACCATGCGGGTCACACCGCCTCGGGCGGACTGCCTTTCTCCGCCCGGACGGACTGTATTGTACTTCTACTCGTCTCAATCCAGTGGGACATTTCCCCTTCAAAAATGTTGCCTGTACATGGCGATGGCCGAAGAAACTATCGATACCTTTAACCATCAGTAATAGTATCAATGTATCGACCTATCGTGGCAGCCCTACCTTCATAGTTATTAGCAAAAGTATAGGCCTGCACACTTGCTTTCAATTATTTTTTGCAGTTTTTTAATAACTTAATATTTTAATCATTTAATTAGTGATTTGCCCGCGACATTGCAAGTAGGAATCAGGCATATTGTATTAAAATTAAACCCTCACATAACAAGATGATTGTTCTTATACTGATAAGTCTGATATTTAAAATAATTTATTTGAGTATTTGATAGATTTTTCTTGGAAATTCCTAGATTTATTTACTTTTCTTCATTTTCCCCTTTTTTTATTACTTAATTTAGATCCTTAAAACTCCCGAATTCTGAGAAAAAGGTCAAGGCTGAAGTTCGCGCCCCCCCAGTTTGCTCAACCTAGACTGTTACCAATCGATGCCTAGTTCATCTTTCGCATTCGTGAGGCTTATCCTGTTGTGAGTGCGTCTCCATGCGAGCTCAATATGTTGTAGCTTACCCATTGCATGTTTGTTGGCCTCAAGCCTGAATTTGATAAGTAAATAAATATATGAATAAATGTTCTCCTACCTCGTAAATACAAATACAGGGTGTCCCAAAAGGTATGGAAACATTTTTAAAATGAATAACTCTCTTTAAAATGCATCAAAGGAATTGATTAAAACAGTAAAGGTACAGGGTGTCCCAAATTGATTAAAACAGTAAAGAGCAAACATTTTTACCTGCTATAGCAATTTCATGTGAGAACCATTTATGAATGCCGTTGTCCAAACGATATTCGAGCTCTTGCCACACCCTTTTTTAGAATGTCAGGCTTTTGTAGAGTGTCAGAGTGGCTGATACCTGCACAATGCAGGTATCAGCCAAGGTCTCGCATCCCAGAACCCGTTAACATTTATTCAACCATCTTCCATGCAAACAATGGCATGTGGTGAGGGCATGCAAGTAATGCACTGCATGACCAGTTTAGAAGAGAAAAACGTGGCGTTTACCAATATAAGTATGCCCCACATTCCGTATTGATTTGATTTTGCCTCCACTTCCATCATATTCATGGCATTTTATTTAACTCAAGTCGGTTGGCCTTTGTCTACAAATGGTAGGTCTTTTATATTGTTTTTATTCACCGTTGAACAACATCTGCATGACCTATGGCTGTGACCGTCGCACGCCACTGGCACTATGGAATATAAAGTACTCTCAAGTACTTTATATTTCTACGTTTCTATTCATACGTTAATATTCCTACACATTAATGATAGAATGACAAATATATTAAAGGAAAATGCAAAATTACGTCAGGGATATTAAGCCAAGTGCCAAATGACCCAAATAAGCTAAAATCCCTTTAACCGAACGAAAACCAACTCTCGCATTTTGCAAAAGCATTCGGACCTCCCAGAAACGGAGATTCTCGCAGCTTAAGCCAGCTTTCTCTACCGACAGGCTCAAGAATGGAATGAAGAAATCCTCCGCCGACCTCCAGATGTGGCGAAATCGCCTTTCCCTGCGCCCATTCAAACCCTTTGCATGCGATGAAGAGAAGTGAGAAGAATGTAGCGACTCGGCGGCCTTCAAACGTGAGGTTTCTTCGCTTTTCGTCGCTCGCGAATGCGATCGAAATCCCACGGTTCGTATGCTGTGATGTATACAATAGGCCTCGGTTACTCCGATGTTTCGAGCTGCTCAAGAATGACGGAAGGACTTACAAGTCCAAAATTGGTAGAAAATTTTGGTGGAAAAAAAGTGAAAATATTGTGGGACGGCATCGCTCCGACTGGTCGTATCACAAAGTTACGATAGCGTCTGATGCAAGGGCAGGTTGTCAAAACGCGCGATGACCTGTCGCTTGCACCCTTTCTCGTATCGGTCAAGAAGCATTTATTCTTAGTTGTTAGACGGACGCTGACGACCGATCGTCGGCGGAATCTGCTGGCAAGATTGTTATTCGAGGCATTTTGTGGACATACTTAGCCTTATTCCTCCCTGCAAAGCATTTCATTAACGGGCCACAATTTGTATCCTAATACGGGCGAAGCGCCGTTTCAGGACTAGAAACACGCAGGAATCTAACTGAGCAGTCAGATGACTTCACAGGATATGAGAGATAGGATGTTGGCGATTCCGGTTTCATTCTCCGAGCATCCAAGAAAATCCGTGGTCCGCTTTGCAGATGTTACTGTTGGCCTTTTCTAAGTGGAACATCACATGCATGCCTGCTTCTTCATACAGACCAGTAACTATTTTTTAAAAGAATGCGACACAGTACTGGTTCTTGATGGTAATTGGAATTTATTCTGACCATTTCGTCAATCATTTGAAGAACTACATTTATTATCCCCTCGTAGTTAGCCTCTGTAGCTCGCAGGAGCGACGGCTACGAATCCAGTGGAGAAACTTTCTGCTCCCTCTCGGTAAGTATGTTCGACGGCTTTTGCATACTTCAGGTAGTAGTACTGTAGATAGCTTTTTGTTGCATTCTGAGAGTAGGGTTGGTGTAGTCCATCCAGTATAGCAAAGTTTTTGTACTTTTCGACTGCCTAATGCTTCTCGTAGGGCCGTCGACAATGAATCAAGACATGGATCATTTCATTGACCCATCAGAGAATTATTCTCAGCTTCCTTGCAAACGTTTTTTCCTGACTGGAGTTTCGCCAATGACCATTTCAAAGTTGATCATCGACGTAGAGGACCTGGGATTTTCATTGTCAGGAGAGCCTAGATAACTGCCAGCCACATGTCGCCAATCTTGTGAATTACATTGGACATTGATCCAACAAAAGCGCTTCATTGTCAATCATACCACTTCATTTTTACGCAATGCAGGAGCTTTCATCCGGAGAATGCGTGTTTTGAATTCAGGTATTAAATACCTAATCTAGAATATTGATGGAAGTGAATTCTTTCACAAAGGGTCCGGAAAATCACTTTCCAAAACCAAAACTTAACAATGGCTAATGGTCGAGTGTTTCATTTGAAGCTAAAGAAATCGATACAACCAAAGGAAAAATGTGTCAAATTAACTTTGTCAGTAAGTCAGCGTTTTTTTTTGCTGTTATTTTTATTCGAATCTAGATGAAACCAGATTCATCGACAATCTTACAATAGAAAAAATTAAGCTCTAATGTGATCATCTGTGGAATCGTATGTGATCATCTGTGGAATTGGTCGAATCTCTACGATTCAGCGTTTTACTTGCTGCTTTTGGTGCTACTTGCACAAGGTTCGATCGACATTACAGCTATAGAAAAAGTGTCGCACTTGGTCTCATGTTCGCGATGGGCGAGGAACCTTGGATACTGTCGAATTTTTGCGATTCAGGGATTTTCAACATTCATTGCATTCTTAGCGCTTGTTGCACCAGGTTGCTTCGACTTTGCAGCTATTGAGAAAGTGTTGTACTTGGTCTCATGTTCGCGGTGGGCGAGCATCCTTGGATACTGTCGAATCTCTGCAA